CAGCATGATTAAGCCCCTACATATGCCCTCTTTTAACTTCATTTAGCGAGTTGGATTGGCTAAAGAAAGAGAAGAAACTGAAATACCCAGGATGCAAAGTGGAGGCAAGTTCTCAAAAATAACTGCAGCAATCGAGCTGATAAGTGCCTTAAAAAAGCACATCTATTAAAAGACAAAGGATGATGATGCAAAATACTGCATATATTGCATATTGCATTTATGAATTCCCAGACTAAAATTGCCTAATTTAAATATAGTCTTTATGATTACATGTTTGCTCTCACCTACTGAGGTCAATGTAGTGATGCGCTTTAATATGAAATGGTTAAATTAGAAATGGAGCATAATTGGACATCACAAGGGCTGTGATCTCCAACTATGTATACAGCATGAAGAACCACGGGCTGTTTTTGCTTGATGGAAGGAGAAAAGCTGATTAGACCTAAAAAAGCTTATATTTGCCCGGGGGAGCATTAGAAGAGGGTATACATGCATTGTAGACAGCTTATGAATTTATAAACTGTAATCACAAAGAACTATTTCCCAAGATGTGCCAATTAAGCAATGAGGGAATGCAAGGTAGTCCAGCAGAAACATTGTACAAGAATAATAAGGAAAAAAGTGGCAAGACAAAAGAACGAGCTGAGAGAGTGCTTGGAGAGTATCCTTGCTAAGCATTAATCTAAATTCCTAAAAACCAACACCACTTAATCCGTCCTACTGTAAGTAAAAAATAATTTAAATAAGCCTTTGGACACAGTTTCTCTTTGAGAATGCAAACCCTGTTTAATACAATAATGGCAACATTGTCAGCAACTTTAACTTCTTTTGCAATTCTCCAGTGACAACTACTCTAACAGAGAAAGGTTATGAGCTAATAACTCCCTGCATGTGTACCAGTTGATTGCACTATAAACTATTCAAGTTTACAAGTGCTTATTAATAATCTGGGCATTGTTTGGCCTCCTTGTGTTCCTTTGGCATGAACCGTAAGGGCATGGGACCAAATACCATCATTATGCCAGTTAAGCCTTCCCCCCTCTGGGGCAAAGAGGCTGTTGGGTACTTTTGGACAGATAAAAACACCAAAGGCAACAGTTTAAATCAGTAACAGTAGGCTCATGGGCACATATCCACACAAATGATTGAAATAATGCAAGTGTGGAAGATGTGTTCTTAGCCAGAGTGCTGCTTAGGTCTCGTAGTCTTGCAGTGCCAAAACTAAATGCAAACACAATAGAACCTGGCCCTGAAGCCCACATGTGCCTGACTCTTTCACACACAAAAAAGGTCTACAGGACCCTTCCCTTGCTGCTTCTCCTGCCGCCAATAAAAGCAATGAATAGCTTTGTCAGGATGTCAGCTCTTTTAAAAGCAGACCTTTGCAATGCTTTCTGAGACTCAACCTGCTTTCACTGAGCCAACTGGTATTGTTGTTTGTCATTGTCCACACTGTTATAATCTATGTGGTAGTGTGGTGACTCTGTCTTTTAAAATTTGATGAAGCTGACCTGATTTACAAAAATGACCACCAGCACTATGTCTATTGTAGTCAAACAAAGAGCACAGACAAAGAAAGAGGGCATGACAGAATGCAAATGTTTGTGTGTGTGTGTGTGTGTGTGTGTGTGTGTGTGTGTGTGTACACACATTTATTGGTTAGATGATGCATAATGCAGTTTCACAGGGACTAGAAAACAGAGGGGATAACTGACACCGTCTATCCATTTGCATGTGCCGTACTTATGTTTGCATGCTGGGTGCATGGAGATGAAAATAAGGGTGCAAGCATTCGTGTGGGGCATGGATGAATGGGGAGATCCAGGACTGTCTGCTAACATTCAGGGATGTGTATATCATCTCCGAGGCGTTGATGGGCCCTAATGCAGAATAAGGAGAGCCAATCAACTCCTATCTATCCGCTCTGCCAGGGTGACACATTGTAGGGGTACTTCAAGGCCAGCGTACTGCCACATTCTGCTGACAAATCATTACATTAGACATGTCGACTGAGAAGGAAGGTAATAAGATTGAGTTACAGGGTTTTAGATGGATTATGAACACCTCTTGCTTCCCTGATTCTTTCCATTTTCACCATTCTTTAAACTTATCTGGTTGATTCCAGTTGTTGAACAGACATTTGAACTTGGTTATTTTCGTTTCATAACGAAAACTGCACAGCCAGTTAAAAAGGAGGAATTGTTCACGTCTCCTCTTCTTCACCACAAATACAGGCACTCTTTGTCTAATTGCCAAATGAATTTTTCAACGTGGCAATTTTTGAATGAAAAAAAAAAACACTAAAAATTTCCATTGCACATTTTGATTGTAGTTCAGTAACAGTAAATGACTGGTGTAAAACCAATAGCATGTACACTTTTGCTAAGAAGAGCAAGAAGCAGAAGGTGAAGATGAAGAATAAGATGAAGAAAGTTTACTAATAATGTTTTTATTGTTGTTGTTGTTGTTACTCATTTACTTTTGAAAGCGTCCTTGCTTTATTTTATGTGTGTGCATCTGTCCACGAGATAAATGGTGATTGGCGTGTGGCTGAAAGTGGGTGGTGAGGAATGATTAATCAGCATAATGAATGTGGATAAGCACTGTGCAGATGGAGCCCACACTCAGGACTGTGTCACCCAGCAGGGAGTCTTTTTGCTTCCCTTCAGCGCCTCTGCATAGTTTCAACTATAGCTATAATTGTATTTGTTGGGCATGTGTTGCTTGCTGCCTCGTTTAATTTGCGAGCTCATTTCTGCACGCTTTTGCTTTATAATCACCTCATTCATATTTCAGTAGGATGGTTATCTAAGTATACAATTAGCAACATTTTCATGTAAATAAAAATGTACGCATTTGTTTTGCTTCCCTCTCTTGCCAAACATTATTGCAATGTACCATTTGCAGCAAATCGTGCTTTCAGTCAAACACAGTTTAATAAGTCCTCGAGCTTCACATTTTAACCACTACACAACACATGACATACGCTTTGAGCTGTCTGTGGGTTCAAACTGATTTTTAATACCTCAACCTTAATATTTAAAAAGTGTTATATCCATGCATTAAACAATTGCATTGGATTTAGTTAAAAGCTTATATTCCACAATAATAGAATATGTATGCATCGTCACCCACTCAAATTCTATTTATACACCATATATAAAGGCTAGTAAACCTCTAATGTAAGAGAATCATAATTTAATTAATTCAAAGCAAATTCAAAAGAGACATTATATAACATTAGCATAACAGCAGGTGAATTAACAGAAGAAAGAATTGTTAATAACTGGGATGCTATCCAAACTGTTCCGCCTGAACTTTCTACTTCAGACCATGCAGACCATTATTTAACCAGCAGTGACATACATGCCAGATGTGTGCCCCTTCTGTACCAATAAGTTAACCCGGTTGGTCACCCTGGCTCCCCCTAGATTTCATGACATTAGCTTGGTTTTCAGATGCTCTTACTGAGTCATACGCTCATTCTCCTAAGCCCCGTTGAGCCTTTTTGTTAGAAACCCCACTGTCCTGCTTCACATTGAATAAAGAGTAAAATGGAGAAAGTAAATGGGGACAATAAAAAACCTCTTTCTAGCTGTTTGAATGCTGAAAAAGCTACATATGACTAACCCTGAGACATTTCTCATTGGTGTATTTTTGCTACATTCAGCCATGATTTGTTCATCACATCATATGTGGTGCTGTGTGTACTGGCAATGTGTTAGTACTTTAGCATACTTCCGCCCCAAAGAGGAGGGATGTGTGTCATCTCATACACACCCTGTGGCTGTACTTTCACCTAGTCAGTTTAAGGGTTGATTTTGCAGGATTTACATTAGTTGATGTACAAATCGTGCTTTGGTGGTAAAGGATATATACTGGTATATACAATATACCAACCAGAAGCAACATTAGGACCACTTTCAAGTGAATTGAATAACATTAATCACATTGTTACTTTGCACAGCTATACTGGGGAAGTTATTTCCTGGGAATTATGTGGGCGTTATGTTGGCACATGTGCTCCCTTACTAAACATTGGTGCAAACCAAGTAATCACCCACCTCCACACCACAGCTGCATTCTGAGACCACACTAGAACTTTAACACAAAAGCAGTGTGATCCAGCTCATTGGCCAGGAATGACTTGAGGAACACATGACACTGATCTGACTGAGCATCTACAGGATGTGTCAGAGCAAACGCAATCCAAAGAAGCCCACCTCACAACCACAGGACCCAATAGATCAACTGTCCCAATGCCAGACACCACAGGACACCCTTCGAGCTAGTGGGAACTTTTCCCCCTTTCTCTGGACCTAAGCTTGAAATCAGCAGCCACTTCAACAATGTCCACTCCTGGTTGTCAAGTAAAGAAAAGGGGGGGGAAAAGACTTCTGTACACACTCATGCACAGAAAGCAGTGTATCACTGCCAAGATTATACTGAAATCAAATGTTCTATTTGCTACTCACCCCTAGGGTACACACCTCCTACTGCAGAAATAAAACAGTAATAAAAGCCAACATGCTGCTTTACTCACAAGGACAGTGCAAGAAATGTTAGTGCAGATTGAGGCTCAGGCTGCACAGTGATGCATCTTCACCTCAAGTGCATCCACCTTGTTTTCAATTAATGCTGTTTTTTTTTGAGACAGTGAAAAATAAAATAGAAAAAAACAAGTAGCCTTTAGAAAGCTCATTAATCACGGTTTAAAACAAAGACAAGACGAGATGGGGGTGGAGTTGAGGAGACTTTGCCAAGCCTTCACCTTCTCCATCCATTGTAATAGGATAAAGGGTGGGTCTCTATGGTCCACATGAAAATGAGACGACTGACTTGTGCAAAAAAGAAAAAAAAGAGAGAGACCACACCAGGTCTCCACACACACAAAGTTCACACATTTTTTAGAAACTGCAAAGTAACAGAGAAGGGTAAAAAAGAAAGGAAAAATGGGGGGAAGGGGGGTACTTACGCACCACACTGAGTATCAGTCTTACCTGGATGAGTGATTCACTCAGTCTCTCCTCGTCTACCTGGAGCACAATGTCCCGGATCTCTTCATAAGGCAGGCGGAACGAGCCCAAGAAAATTGCTGTTGTGATGTAGACAGAAAAGAGTCATTTCCTCTCCCTTTTTTATTAGACTGCAGGCTTCCAAGAGACATTTCAGCACAAAATGACCACAGACCTAACTTTCTACTTGGAAAAACGACTATCCAGCCTTTCGACTGGATAGTCTGTGCCACAAAAGCTGGACAGGAAAGAAAAATCAAGATTTAACAACAACACGTAAAAGAGTGACAGGTAATAATAACAATACTGATAATGAGAATATTTTTAATTAGCTGTAGGAGTGTTTGTGTCATGTGAACAGCTACATGCTTTTGTAAGGGTGGATACAAAGGTGCCCAGTGAATTTGCCTCAGGGCAAAGCCTCATGGCTGTTTCACACTCCAGGTGGGGTGGCTACATTGAAAAGTGGAGCTGATGGTGTATCCAGGTGGAAGTCACACATGGAGGTTTGGTAATGAGTTGGAGGAGAGTCACTCAACAGCTGCTTAACTACTGAAGCACTGGGACCTGATGTCTGTATGTGACGTGCAACAGAGAAGGAGTGCGTCCTTTTTTCAGCTCTTCATAGTCTACTGCTACTTAATATACAGAGTATTTACTGCATTTAAGTCAGTCAAAGCATAACACGCCGTTGCTATCACTTTGATTTACGATATAGTGTTGTAGAGCTTTAGTCCCATAACATCTAGCATCATTTTCTGGTTTCACTACATAATATACCTACCTTTCCTCAGCTCAACATTTTTTGTCATATAAAGCACATTGTCTTTGCTTCGTATTGCCTCTTCAATAGACCTACAGCTGGATATTCAGTACTGAGTTCTCTTAAGAGTCGCCCTTCATAGGTCATATGTATTGGATACTAGGACACATTGGAGATTCAAACGTAGATGGGAAGGCAAAAAGAAAAAGTTCCAGGCTGAAAATCCAACATTTGGTGCTATCAGCTTGCACCTGGTTCTTATTTCCTGTGATGGTGTAGGTGTAGGTGTGTTGATGAGATTCAGCAGCACAATGCCGTTTTGGTGCACAATTTAGCAGAAAATTGCACCTGCACATTCCCCCATGAGGATTAGTATGTATGTGTTTTTCCAGGTGCACTGAGGTGTATTTTTCCTTTTAGTTTGTATACAAAGGAGCTTTGCATTACTGCATTACTGATATGGGAATCAAACATCTGATTCTTATGTTCCATTTTCTGTACTGTTGAAAAGGGATAGAAAGTGATACTATAAGTGATACTACATCTATAGAGATACAACAGCAAATGTAGTAGACCACGCAATGTACGGTTTATGGCATAGCTGCTCTAAATGAATAGCATTGGTAATTATCAAAATCATTTTGTTTCTGTAACGGTTAATCCGCCAGCATGTGGAAGCACTTTAATCGACATGACATTTTTAATGCTGTGATATAATTACTGTTGTTATCCATGAATTTTCAAATGTACTGTTTTTCAAAAAAATATAAAAAAGGGAAACACACATCATTATTTTTTTATTAAGGCGTCAAATTGAAGTTATTTATTTTCCTGAAAAGAAAAAAATAGTTTGAATAGTTGAACGTTATGCTCGATGAATTAATTTGAGCAATATAAACATGAATTCTGTTTGTCTAATAAGTAACAATATGATTTTTAGCTTTAAACTCATTTTTGACAGATTTTTTAAATATCTGTGTTTTCTTGGTTTTTATGAAAGGTGGTCTAATAAATTTATTAAGTATCGTAGCTCTATGCTGAGTTTTTTT